AAAATCAGTGGGGAGCCCAGATTCACTTAACAACCGCGTAACTAACTTATCAACGGCAGAGATTCACTTAACTTTCGGGGGAAAGGTCGTAAAATGAGGCAGAATCCATTTAATGTTTCGCCTGGATTGGACTCCGTTGTGGTCGCAAGTCGAGGACTTAGCTCTGCTAAATGTAGATTTGACTTTCCTATTGGGAAGAGAGTTGGCACAGCTTCACTTTTTATTATGCGCTGGTTACAGTAGAACCCTGCGAGGTAGGACAGGCTGAGAGAGGGGAAGGGTGGGATTCGAACAAAGTCACTGCGACTGTTGGGGGTTTGAGGGTAGATTTGATCTAGAGTGCCCTGCAGAAGCTTCCTGGGTGGCCCCATAATATTTGGTAGTATGTCACCATCATGGTTTTAAATTTGTTGGATATAAGGGCTGTTTACCTGGAGATCTTGATATTTTTTTACACATTAAAAAACGATTACTTGAATATCCATCATCCTCGACTTACAGCCGTTTGTTAGTAACCAGATTTACAGCAGCACCGAAACAAGGGACTTATAATTGGTCCTCGCATTTATGACCGTTGGCAGTATCCCCATAGTCATGTGATTAAAATTCAGGTGCTTGGCTACTGGCATCGTGCCCGGGTCACAAGATCGCTATTTGCTACATTTCCAGCCAAACCCAAGTCAATGGGGGAAGCTGGATTCACTTAACGGCTGCATGATTCACTTAACAGTGATTTACTTAACAAAAGGGGTTGTAAAAGCAGGCACGCGACTCACTTAACAACCACCTTCCTTAGTGGTGGAAATTCTGGTCTCAGTTGTGGTTCGGCATATTAGGCTAAGAAAGATTGGCATTCCTTAGGTGTGAATAATCTCTGTATTATGTTTACAGAACGCAGACCCGTAAGCTAAGACTGCATTATTTTTTTAAAAAGTAATTTTTTTATTGAGTGCAGTTGAGTGCACCACCACAACAGAGGCAAAAATGTACGTTGCTAAGTAAGGCAGTCATTAAGTGAGCTTTATCCCATTTTGTGACTCTTTTTTTTTTGGCACAGTTGTTAAGCAAATCCCCACACTTGTTAAATCTATCATGGTTGTTAAGTGAATCTTGCTTCCCCCTTGACTTTGCTCCTCAGAAGGTTGAAAAAGGTATCATGGGACCCCGGGACATTGCGACGGTCATAAATATGAGTCAGTTGCCAAGCCGCTGAATTTTGATCACATGAACATGGGGAGGCTACAGAAGATGCAACTGAAGGACGGTCATAAGCCATTTTTTCATTGCTGTTGTAAGTTTGAACTGTTGTGCGTCGAGGGCCGCACAACTATGTTGTATGACTATCGCTATTTTGTGTGGTGCTTGTGGCGTTTTTGCGTGGCAAAACGCTAGTTGCTTGTCCTTGTCGCTTATCCCTTGAGGAAAAATACTCTTCATATGCTCAGAGATACCCTCTTCTCCAAGTGGTTGGATGGTTCTGAGGAAAGCTATGACAGTTTGCAAGACAAATAATTTTGTGCTTGTAGGATTTTCAAACGTTCCATTTTGTTTTAGCAAGGGAAAATTTTTCACTAAAATTAAAACGAGACTATCATCGGAGCGGACCGCTTTTCCTGAACCCCTACAGGCAGTCCTTGATTTACGACCAAGGTTGAGACCAGAAGTTTCATTGCTAATGAAGGCAGTTGTTACTTGTTAACAGTTGAATAGCGCTTGATTTTAAAATGTTCTTTTGACGTAGTTGTTAAATGAATCATTGAAGTCGCTAAGTGAATCGTGTGGCTGTTAAGTGAATCTGGCTATCCCCATTGGCTCTGCTTGTCAGAAGCCACCAGGGAAGGTTGCAAATGGTGGTCACATGACTCTGGGGTGCTGCAACTGTTGTACGTGAGAGGACCAATTGTAAACGAATGGTTGTAAATCGAGGACTACCTGTGCAAGTAGTCCTTGATTTGCAACAGTTTGTTTAGTGACCGTTCAAAGTTACGGCGGCACTGAAAGAAGTGACTTATGATTGTTGGCATTCCCATGGTCAAGTGATCAAAATTCAGATGCTTAGCAACTGTCTCATATATATGACCGTTGTAGTGTCCCAGGGTCACGTGATCCCCTTTTGTGACCTTCTGACAAGCAAAGTCAATGGGGAAGCCAGATTCACTTAATAACCATGTCATTCACTTAACAACTGTGGCAAGGAAGGTCATAAAGCAGGGCAAAATTCATTTAACAAATGTCTCGCAACCAAAATTTGGGGCTCAAATGTGGTCCTAAGTCGGGAGCTACCTGTATTGAATTCCTAACTCCCGTCATTATTTATTTACCTAAAAAGTATCAGAGGTGAAGAGCAACTGATTTTATGCCCCTTTTTTTTGCCAGGGTTGTTAAGTGAATTACTGTAGCCGCTAAGTGAATAACGTGCTTAAGAAAGATTAGGAAAAAAGGAACCATTCACCACTGAAATAGGCAGTCAAAATCTGCAAGACGGCAGGCCTGGCGTTAAACGTCCATGGCTATGCAATGTCCACCATCTTGCAGATTTTGACCTTGGTGGCCATTGACTTTTTAATCCAGTGTGGCTAAACCTGGCTTAAATCTGGATTTGGCTCAAAAAGTAAGCCAAGAATTGTAAGTTTAGTAAAGGAATCCAGGCCAGAACTGTCACTGGTGGGAAGCGGGTTTGAAGTTTGCAGACAGGTGGAAACACCATATGGGTTGGATGGTATGAAATGCAGTGCCTACCCCCCCCACCCCCGCCGCCGCCCTGGGGAGAACCGTGAAGGAGGGTGGGGGTTTTGTCAGGAGGAGAAGACAGCTGGCACCAACTCATCAGCATTGTAGGAAGTAGCACAGGGCACGCCCTTTGCAAAACAACCCGTTAGCAGACGGGGGAGAGAAATTTGGATGGGGCTGTTGAACCCATGTTGAAAATAGAATGGAGCTCTAGAGTACAACGATGAGGGCGATAGGGATGGTAGCCATCTTGACTTTTTTGACTCCATCTCTGGAAAGCCCTGACTACTGACCTTCCTTCCTTCCTTCCTTCCTTCCTTCCTTCCTTCCTTCCTTCCTTCCTTCCTTCCTTCCTTCCTTCCTTCCTTCCTTCCTTCCTTCCTTCCTTCCTTCCTTCCTTCCTTCCTTCCTTCCTTCCTTCCTTTACCTCCATCTCCATCATCATCTCCATTTCAATATGTATGCATGTATGTATGTATGTACGTACGTACTTACCAGGGGTGGGTTTCAGGCGGTTCGCGGTGGTCCCCGCGAACCGGTTGGTCGGCGAACCCGGAAGTAAGTAACTTCCGGGAACGCCGAAGGATCCACCCGCCCGCCCGCGTTTCTTACCCAGTTTTGACGAGTTCTGCGCTTCCACGCATGCACAGAACGCATACAGCGCCTGCGCGATCCTCCAGGAGCAGCTGGAGCATCGCACAGGCGCTAGTACGCATGCGTGCACTGCGCGCGTGCACGAGGATGACGACGCCCCCGTTCCAACCGAACCGGTTGGAACGGGGCGAGAAACCCACCCCTGGTACCTACCTACCTACCTACCTACCTACCTACCTACCTACCTACCTACCTACCTATCTATCTACCTAACTACCTAACTACCTACCTAATATCTCTCTCTCCATTCTTCAGCTGGCTTTCCTGGCTGGGGAATTCTGTGAGTTGGAGTCTACCCATTGCCAAGTGCGAGAAACATTGGAATGGAAGATGGAAGGAATTAACCTAAGATTAGCAGTCCTTTCAACAAGAGGCAACATGCAGAATAATTCTTTTAGCTTCCTATTTATAACCTATTTCCAACTCCTGTAGCTGTAGCTAAATAAAGTGGCCTTCCCCCCCCCCCCAAAGCTTTCTTGGTTTTCCTGAGGTGAATTGCAGATAGTCCTTGCGTTATGACTGAAGTAGAGCCCGCCCATCATGGTAGTAAGTCATGACGATTGTAAATCAGGTCATCCACATGATTGACCTCATCTTATGACCTTTACTGCAGCGGTCACTAAGTGGATTATGGTGAAACATGGTCATGTGATCATAGAACAATGGAAATGACCAGAAATGTCCAGATGGCTAAGAGCCCAAAGTCATGGTAGCTGTCAGAACTTCAGAACTGAGTCATAAGAACTGCCAGGGAAATCCGACATAACTTTGAGAGGCCACTAAGCAATTGGTCATAAGTTGAGAACTATCTGCCCATAGAGATGTGGATAGTATCCATGTTTATTGTACCCAAAGGCTTCCTGTGACCCCTGCTGATTACAGGTAGTTCGTGATTTACAACCACAGTTGGGACCAAAGTGGTTGTTAAGTGAATTACATCTGCTTTTATGACCTCTTATATCATGGTTCTTCAGCAAATTGCTGATGCTATTAAATGCATCTTGCAGTCATTAAGCGAGTCTGACTTTCCCCGCACGGACTGCTTATTGGAAGGTTGCAAATGGCGATCACGTGACCCTGGGATGCTACAACTGTCATAAATACCAGTCAGTTGCTAAGCACTGAAATTTTGATCGTATCACTGTGGGGATGTTGTGATGCTCGTGAGCACAAGGACCAGTTGTAAGTCACTTTTTTCAATGCTGTTGTAACTTCGAATGGTCATTTAACAAACTGTTGTAAGTCGAGGACTACTTGTATTGTCTCCAAGCTAGGAAAAGAATGACTCCAGATCCTTGTTGTAGAGATAAAATGGACCTTGGTGTTCTACTTAATCATAATATTCTACTTGATCATAATGTTGTACAGGTTCTCCTCGACTTACAAACATGCGTTTAGTGACCAAGGGAACATACTGAAGTCATAAGTGCAAGGACTGCTCATAAATCACTTTTCCCCATGCTGTTGTAATTTCAAACAGTCACTCCTCAAATGGTCGTAAGTCAAGGGCCACCTGTACCATTAGGCCATTAGTGTCCACAAAATTTATTTTCTTGCAAAATTCATTTTCTTGCTCCTCATGCTTGTTGTTGTTCTCCTTCTTGTAGGCCATCAAGATGGATTACATTTCCTACAGTGGCGTCCCGAGGTTCTTGACGAGGCCCAAAGCCTTCGTGGTCTCCATGGGCAAAGATGCCACCCTGAGCTGCCAGATCATTGGCAACCCCATCCCGCTGGTGAGCTGGGAGAAGGACAAACTCCCCATCCAGACAGGAGGACGCTTCAAGATGGTGGAAGACGATGACCTTTATCGTCTCACCATCTACAACCTGAGCTTGGAGGACAGCGGTCAGTACATCTGCCGGGCCAAGAACACCATTGGAGAAGCCTTTGCCGCCGTCAGCATCAAAGTTGGCGAGCAGACCACCGTGACGGAATCGGCCCCCTACTTCATCCAGAAGCCCACATCCATCCGAGTGATTATGGGTGAAGATGCCATGTTCAAGTGCATTGTCCAAGGTAGCCCTCCCCTCGCCATCAATTGGGAGAAGGACGGGAAGCATCTGGGCAAATCATCTGACTCCAACCGGATCCGGATTGAAACCCAGGGTGAGAAGAACGCTCTGAAGATCCAAAGTACTCGTTTGGGAGATAGCGGAACCTACACTTGCCGTGCAGAGAATCCTTTAGGATCCTCCAGCGCGGCCGCTGCGTTGCTGGTAGATCTCCCAGATTCGTACAGCCCAGGCAGCACCAGACACAGTATAGATGACATTGGTAGCAAGACATCTCCGTTGTTGTCCCACATGCAGAAAAGGCGAGAAGAAATCCGGAAGAGCGATTTGCCCAACGTAGACACCTTGATCTCCACCGAAGGACGGTCCAAACTCGGATTGAGCTTGTCCTTGGATTACGAACGGGCTGCTAGCTTGACCTCCAAGGGACTCCGAAGCGATGGAGGTTCATATTATCGGGTCACCACCCGGAGTTTCACTGTCACTGAGGGCAAGCATGCCAAAATGAGTTGCTACGTAACTGGAGAACCAAAACCGGAGACGGTTTGGAAGAAGGATGGAGAGGTGATCCTGGAGAGCCGGAGACACATAATTTACGAGGACGAGCAAGAGAATTTTGTCTTGAAGATCCTCTTCTGCAAACAGGTCGATAATGGCCTCTACACCTGCACAGCTTCAAATTTGGCGGGTCAGACCTACAGTTCTGTGTTGGTAACTGTCAAAGGTGAGTAGCCGTAGATCCTCCACTGTGTAGCATAATGAGCTCAACACCAGACAGTTTGGCAGGACAAATCTTACAGGTCTGCGTCAATAACCACCAAAAGTTAGTAGCCGTAGATCATTGTGTAGCACAATAGGCTCAAGACCAGACAGTTTGGCAGGACAAATCTTACAGGTCTGTGTCAGTAACCACCCAATGTGAGTAGCCGTAGATCCTCCACTGTGTAGCACAATGGGCTCAAGACCAGACAGTTTGACAGGACAAATCTTACAGGTCTGTGTCAGTAACCACCAAAGGTGAGTAGCCATAGACCCTCCACTGTGTAGCACAATGAGCTCAACACCAGACAGTTTGGCAGGACAAATCTTACAGGTCTGTGTCAGTAACCACCAAAGGTGAGTAGCCATAGACCCTCCACTGTGTAGCACAATGGGCTCAAGACCAGACAGTTTGGCAGGACAAATCTTACAGGTCTGTGTCAGTAACCACCAAAGGTGAGTAGCCGTAGATCCTCCACTGTGTAGCACAGTAGGCTCAAGACCAGACAATGTGGCAGGACAAAGCTATAGTTCTGTGTTGGTAATTGTCAAAGGTGAGTGTCTATAGATCCTCCGTTATGTAACACAATGGGCTCAAGACCACACAACTTGGCACGACCTTCAGTTGTGTGCTAGTAATCGTCAAAGGCGAGTAGCTGTAACTCCGCCTGTCTTCAAGTTATCAAGATGGAGAAACACTGGAAAAGAAGGTATAAGGAAATAATCTCAGATCAGCAGTCCATTCAACAAAAGCAGGACGCAGAAAAATTCTCCGACTTTTCTATTTACAACACATAGGCAGTCCTCGACTTATGACTTCAATTGATCCCAAAATTTATGTTGTCACGCAAAATGTTTGTCAAGTGAATTTTCTCCCCCAATTTTATGACCTTTCTCGCCACAGTTGTTAAGTGAATTCCTGTAGTTGTTAGGTTAGTAACACAGTTGTTAAGGGAATCTCTCGTTGACTTCGCTTGTCAGAAGATCTCCAAAGCAGATCGTGTGATCCTGGGAAACGGCGACCGTCATAATTATGAGGCAGTTGCCAAGCGGCCAAATTCTGATCACGTGACCACAGGGAGGGAACAATGGTTGTTACTGTGAAAAAAATGGTCAGGAGTCTTTTTTTTCCAATGCTGTTGTAAATTTGAACAGTCATTAAACAAATGAGGACAATCCGTAATAGTGTCCTTTGTTTTTTTAAAAAAGAACATTTAGCTTCACAACTAAAAGAAGACTGTTAAAAGTATTTTTAAACTAGAAGAAATCTAACCCCAGGCATATCTTCTGCAGTAGTAGGTGCCAAGGAAGTAAACATGTTTCTTGGCTAGTTTTACAAGGAGATTGACATTAGCAGCGTGCAGATATTCAATTTTCACATTCGGTGGGATGGTGATTTGATCCTGTGTAAAATGGATTCCTTGATCTCAAATCCAGTGATGTTTTCTGAATCAAAGACCCTTAAAGACGTCAGAGTTTCTGGTTCTTGACTTACAACCAGTCACTTTGAGACTGTCTGAAACTACAACAGATCCTGAAAAAGCTACTTTGGACCCAGATTCAAAATTTTGACCTCCACCCTCTTGGTCACGTGGCTGCATTTTGGGCTCTTGGCAACCAGCCTGCTTTATGAACGTTTTCAGCATCCCACAGTCACATGCTTGCGATTTATGATGGTTTTGTTGGAAATCAATATTTATGTCTGTTTTATAGCAAAAAGACACCCTTCAGTGGACTGGGTTTATTTTGTGAGCATATCAGTCACTTAACGACTGTAGCATTCTCTCGACAACCATCGGATTGATTTAATGACCACCCTGTATATGTTGTAAAATTGGTGTGGTTACATAGTGGCCCATTTAAACTTCACAATTTATGGCTTTTAAGACTTATGATTGTAAGTCTAGGACTACCTGTATGTTCCACTGTTGGGAGTTAGGGTTCCACCACAAAACCGCATTCGACTAAAGCGCGCTTGACGAAACCGCGTAGCTGATGTCATCAACAGGGCGACAACAGCGCGGAGACAGAAGCACGCTGTAAACGCTAAACCTAAAATTAACCCCTAAACCTAAATCTAACCCCCCTAAACCTAATCCTAAACCTAACCCTAAACCTAACCCTTAACCTAACCCTAAACCTAACCCTAAAGCTAACCCTTACCTTAAGTTGAATCGACTTGCTTTCAAAGCACTATTTAAAGCACACTTCTTTCTCCGCGCTCGCTGTTGTCGCCCTGTTGATGATGTCAGCGACGCGGTTTAATTGGGCGCGCTTTAGTCGAGCGCGGTTTTGTCGTGCCACGGGGAGTTAGAAAACTAAATTATAAGAAGGGATGGTGACTGCTCACATCCAAGGCTTTGAAAGGGATTGAATTAATTCACAGAAGACAGGGCTACAGGTAGTCCTCAACTTATGACCCCCCCCAATGGAACCCAAAACTTCTCTTGCTAACTGAGAAAGTTGTTAAGTGAGTTTTCACTTCCTGCAAGAAAAGGTCATAGAATGGGGAAAACTCACTTAACAACTATCTTGCTTAGCATTGGAAACTTTGAGCTCAATTATGGCCATAAGTCGAGGACTACCTGTACTGATGTTCCACTTCATTGTAATGTTCTATTGATATTCCACGTAATCACAGTTTTCTAAAGGTGTTCTACCTGATCACAAAATTCTACTTAATCTTAATGTTCTACTGATGTTTTACTACTTAATTACAGTGTTCTATTGATGTTCCACTTGATTGTAAGGTACTACAGATGATCCCCTTGATCATAATGTTCTACTCATGTTCTACTTGATCCCAATGTCCTATTGATTTTCCACTTGATCAGCAATTTACTACTAATGTTCCACTTATAATGTTCTAGTGATGTTCTACTTGGTCATAATGTTCTGTTAATGTTTCACATGAGCATAATTTCCTACTGATGTTGTCCCTGACCATAACATTTTACTAATGTTCTACTTGATAATAATGTTCTATTGATGTTCCGTTTGATCATCATTTTCTACATATTCTTCTTGATCATATTGTTCAACTGATGTTCTATTGATCACAATATTCTTTTGATTTCCCACTTGACAGTAATTTTAGGCTGATATTCCATTTGATTGTAAGGTTGCGGTGATGTTCTACAGTTGATCATAATATTCTACTGATGTTCTACTACTTGATCACAACATTCTGTTAATGTTCCACTGGATAATAATTTTATACTGATACACCAATTGATCATAATTTTACTGGTGTTCTGCTAGAGCATAACATTGTACTGTTGTTGTACTGGATCTTAATGTTCTACTGACATTCTAGATCACATTGTTCTACTGATGTTCTACATGATCTTGAGAAGAATCCACACTTGCTGTTTGATGGTTCTTCAGTCTTGTGTCTTACCAAAGTTAATTTCTCCATCTGGTTCTTCCCCAGAACCCAGAATACCTTTCAAGACAAAACTCCAAGATTTGGAAGTTCGGGAGAAGGACTCCGCGATTTTCTTGTGTGAAGTGCCCCGTTCTGACGTGGAGACCACTTGGTTCAAAGAGGAGACCAGACTTCAACAGAATGACAAGTACAAGATTGAAGAAGATGGGCTATGCCGCAAACTCACAATCCAAAATGTCACCATGGATGATGATGCTGTCTACATTTGCGAGATGAAGGAAGGCAGCAGAACCATCGCTGAGTTGAGCGTTCAAGGTAGGTGAAGTCCATCTGATCTTTCTTGGTAGGGCTTCCTTCTAAAGGTGGTCCTCAACATATCACTGGTTGCTTAGCAATCATTTGAAACCATCTCCCCAGATTTACCATCCTGAGATTTGGCATTTACACATATGAAGGGTGCTCATATTAGTAAAATCAATACACAGATCCTTGCACTTACGACCATCGCAGCATCCCCACGGTCACGTGATCAAAATTCGGGCACTTGACAGCCGCTCTGCATATATGACACTTGCAGCATCCTGGGGTCATGTGATCTCCATTTGTGACCTTCCCAGCCAGCTTCCGGCAAGCAAAGCGGGAAGTTGGATTTGCTTAATGACTGTGTAATTGGTTTAACAACCAATAATAGTTAACTTCAGTGATTCAATGGTCAAATGAGAGCCGAGGTGGTGCAGTGGGTAGAGTGCAGTATTGCAGGCCACTTCAGCTGACTGCTAGTTCAGCAGTTCAGCGGTTCAAATCTCACCGGCTCAGGGTTGACTCAGCCTTCCATCCTTCCGAGGTGGGTGAAATGAGGACCCAGATTGTGGGGGCGATATGCTGACTCTGTAAACCGCTTAGAGAGGGCTGAAAGCCCTATGAAGCGGTATATAAGTCTAACTGCTATTGCTATTGCTATTGCTAAATGCAGTGATTCACTTAACAACCATGGTGAAAAAGGTTGCAAAACCAATCACAACTAGCCGTGCAAATTCTGTTCCCAACGATGATTGTAAGTCGAGGATTATCTGTTAATACTCGTTTAATAAAAATCATTAAAGGCAATTCAGCTCTGACCTGCTAACAATTTTTAGACAGAGATCAGCCTTCCTTAGTCGATAATTCCAGGGGTGAAATGCAATACTCCTGTTGGAAACCACTACTGTGTTTCCCCCCAAAATAAGACAGCGTCTTATTTTTTTTTGCCCCATGAAATATGGCCCTGGGCTTATTATAGGGGGAGGGCTTATTATTTTCCGGGGCAGGTGAGAAGCAAGGCACGCCTTTTACATTTCCAGCTCCATCGCGTTCCTCGCCATTGTGTTCAGGGAAGCTGCTAGTAAAAAAAACCTTCTCGCGAGTTCAATCAAACATCTTGAAGTCGCGAGAAGGTTTTTTTTTTTTACCAGGGGCTTCCCTGGACACAATGGCGAGGAAGGTGACAGACCTGGAAAGGTAAGAGGCGCGCCTCGCGGCCCAATACCACCCATCTCGCCCCAATGGTAAAGGCAGCCTGCCTGATTCCCTTCCCCTCCGTCCCTTTAGCGAGGGGTGGCAGGTGGGGGGGGGGGAGAAGCGAGGCGCACCTCTGACCTTTCCAGGTCCGTTGCGTTCCTCGCCCTTTCGCCCATTGAATCCCCTTGTAAAAAAAACCTCATGAGTTCAACTTGTGAGTTTTTTTTTTTACAAGGGGCTTCACTGGATGAAAGGGTGAGGAATGCAGCGGAGCTGTCAGTCTCTGGTAGCGCTAGGACATCCGTCTCGCTTCTCTCCCCCCTCGCTAAAGGGGTGGCGGGGAAGGGAACCAGGCAGGTTGCCTTTACCATTGGGGTGGGGTAGGTGCGAGAAGGAACAGGCGAGAGGGGGTGATCGCATTGCTGGCCTGACACTCTTTTTGCGGCGGGCTCTTTTTGCGCGGGAGGGAAGGGCGGAGGGAGGGGAAAGCACTTTGCTTCGCCTGCATCTGTTTTTGCGGCGGGCCCTCATTTGCCCCGCAAGCTGTATCAGTAAGTGGTACAGTGGTAATGACGGGGACCGGCTGCGCATGCGCTTAAATAGTTGGAGGCGGGCTTATTTTCGGGGGAGGGCTTATTATGCTGCATGCTGTGAAAAGCCCAATTGGGCTTATTAGCAGGGCATGTCTTATTTTCAGGGAAACACGGTAGTTATCTAAGAGGGTCAATCCATGCTTGTTTGCATCAAAGGTCGAAAGAGGTCATCTGATTTCTGTAACCTGAGTTCCTATCATGCTGCTTGCCAAGCATTTAAACGGACTGCAGACATGTTGATGCCTTTGAACTTTGCAGCACATACCCGGTATTCTTCGGCAGTCTGTTTAGTGACCATTCAAACCTCCAACAGTTCTGAAAGAAGTAACTTATGACCATTGTTCACATTTACGACCATTGCAACACCTTCAGGGTCACACCATCAAAATTCAGATGCTTGGCAGCTGATTCATTTTTATGACAGTTGCAGTGTCCTGAGGTCACCTGATTCCCCCTTTGCACCATCCGACAAGCAAAGTCAATGGGGAAGCCAGGTTCACTTAACGACCAGTTGACTAACTTAACAACAGCAGGGGTTCACTTAACAAATGCAGCAAGAAAAATTTGTAAAATGGGGCAAAAATCACTTAACAAGTTTCCCGCATAGCGACATAAATTTTGGGCTCTGCTGTGGTCGTAGTTCGAGAACTGCCTGGACACATTGGTCCACTTTACAAGCCAGGGTTAGGAAGAGAACCTGGTTTGCCCTTGACCAGCCCCTCTCTCCGTTTCTTGCTGGGTGATATCGCCTGCTATCCTGGCAAACGCAAGCTGCAAAAACGCATTTGCGAAAACACAAAAAGGGGGAAATATTTGGGGTTTCTGAGCCTGGTTTATTTGGGTGGGATCTGGTGGATTCCCATCCAAGTGATTTTCGAGATCCACCAAGGCTGAAGATGGACCATTCCCAGCTTTGAGGATTAACCGCAGTGCACTGGACACAAAAAATATGCAATAAATTCAGGGTATGTTTCCGTCCACTGTGAGTATGTTACGATATTTAAATTTAATAGGGGACTCGTGTGGTGAGCCAGAACAAACCGTTACAGTTGATTGATGGGAGAGGGCTGGTTCCTGCCTGAGGCAATCTGCGCTGTGATTGGTTGCAATGAGTGTGGAGGGGGTGTTTCCCTTTTTCCCCATCTTTTTCTTTGGTGTTCTCTGCAATTTACCTCATGATCCTCCTGTTTGCCTGAATTTTCTTATTTGTGGTATATATAGAGATGGAAAATATATTTATTTATATGAAATTACAATTTTTTGCTAACCTCTCTGGCTTCACCTGGACACCTGCTGCAAAATCCCCACATAGATCTATCCATCCATCCATCCATCCATCCATCCATCCATCCATCCATCCATCCATCCATCATCTATCTATCTATCTATCTATCTATCTATCTATCTATCT